GATGGTGGCTCTTGGCATTTGGTCAATGGAGTTTAATTACGAGTAGTGTTATTGTTGATGCTGAAACCGTTGTGATTACGGTGCACATCCGTGTTGGGTTATGAAATGGTTGGTGAGCATTTAAGTTGGATTTTAATCAGATGATGAGACAAGTGCACCAATAAGAATATCATTTGGGAGTGTCTATGTTTTATGACTATGTTAAGGAATTTAAATATTTGGGGATTTATTCACAAATGTTTATAATTTTTTTAACTAAGAACAAAATATAAATAGATTCAAATTTTGGGAATTTTATTTCATAAAAATCTCATCATACAAGAAATGGAGATTGCTTCACATTTTAGAAATACTGTACAAGGATTTACATTAAGTCTAAAGGTCCTAAGTCCTAAAAATTCTAAGTATCCTTCTTGATGTCCTTTGAGCTTCTCCGCAAAGTCTCCAATTCACCTGCACATCAAAACAAAACAAACAGTATAGAAAAAAGGTTAGGAGTTGTTTTGACACTCTCAGAACAATGTCATCATCGAGTGCCGGGAGTGGCACAACCGAAGCTGCGTCCTACCCCCGTTACCGATCCGCGCCGTGGGCGTCAGGTCAGGTAACACATGTTCTTATCGTTACAGGACATCCGAGAGATAGAAGCAATAAAAGAAGCGGGACTGATTCGTTTTGCCGCGATTGGATTTCTAAACTGATACGAGAATAAGGCAACATAGGCAAGATTGAACTCAGACCCGGATGCCGGCAGGTCTGAGTCACTTTGGTTTCGAAAGATTCCAACACCTGAAAAAGCCACAAGCATCATCAGACAAATTGATAACAGAAACTCAAAAGCAAGGCAACTCATAAACTGCCCCAAAGCTGAACAAACATCCAACTCAGAAAAGGAAAAAGAGGGACCAATAAATCATGAGTGGCAAGTTCATGCGCAGGAGCACATCCTACACAAAAGTTCAGAACAAAAACCAAGTCTAAACAGAATAGAAAAATATAAACCAAACTGCATTGAATGGCCTCAACAAAGTATCAGAAAAACGAAATTGAATATGGTGTAGCAGCAGAATGCAAACAGCCAAATCATATCATACCAGAAAAAGCAATTAGCGATGGTAAGTCACCATGACAAACCAACGTGCCATTCTGCTCACAACACGAGCAACAAACAAGATCATAGCATCTTCTCTGAAGGGCTCAGTCAGGGCATCATTGCCCTAAAACAGAAAGTTTAAACGTCACAGTTGGGTGCGAGCAGCGAACCTGAGGATTAAGAGTTGAAACAGGTTAGGTTGTCACAAGCATATCAGTTCAGAAATAAAACAAGTCACGAAACCATATCAGGATTCAAAGTAGCATCCCAGCTCATGTTCTGAATCAAATTCCATAGAACACAGCAGAAGGCAACTGCGACATCATCGAAGAACATCCCTCGAAGGCTCAGAACGATGTCATCATTGCCGTATACCTTCCTCGGCAGCGTTTGACGCAACCGAAGCCGGAGTACCTACCCTGAAAGAAGAAGAAGAAAAGTAAGTATTCCAACTGATAACCAAACTGAATGGAAGCAGGTCATCATCATCAAATAATCTAGTTCGCATCAGTATCCAAAATGAAGACCAGAGGTCAAAGAACATTGCATCAGATGGAACCAGATATCCAAATACATGACAGAGTTGCCTGTATCAGAAGCATCTGCAAAGCATAAATCCAAACAAACCACATCAGATAAACAAAAAAAACGATATCCAGTTGAAATCCAAAAGATGAAGTTCAATCAAGGCCGATCAGATATGGAAAGTTTCAAAACAGATCAAAACAAATCAGTTCAGGTTATATTCAATCACAGAGTTCTGAAGATAGAAAGCTCTGAACCAAATCAGAAGAATCATATCAGCTGGAGATCAGAAAAGACCAATCAAACCCTAAAAAGGGAAACAGAGTTCAATCAGTGTCAAATAGCATCCAATCGTAATCAAATCAAATCAAAATCAAACAAAATCAAATCCCAGTAAAATCAAATCGCATGAAAGTGAAAAATAGCACAAATCCACACGGATTAAAGGCCCAGAAGTTAGTTATAAAAAGGAAGATACCACCTGTGAAAGAGAGGAGGACAGAAACCCTAACGAAGTCGCGAAAACCCTAACGAACGAAACCCTAACGGCCAAGACTCAGAGAGACCGGTACCCTCATCATCGCCTCCGTTCACTGACGGACCAACATCAACAACCGCGCCACCGAAAGGGGAAGACCGTCTTCGCCATCTAAACGGCGGACAATCAACCCTCAGGCCTCAGCTCGCATCCATCATCGGCCAGTTCACTTTAAAGGTGAGCCAGGGATGCTTTTCATTACTATTTTCATGTGTTTTTCAGGAAAATCGAAAGAGAACGGAGAAGAAGATGCTTGGCATCGCGGATGAGAATGAGAGAAGCGAGAGGAAGAACGAAGTGAAGCGGCGCCGCGAGAATGAGTCTGGGTTGGAAACCCTAAAATTTTTTTCTTATGACTCATAACTGGGTTGGGTCCGGGTGTGGTTACCGACCCAACCCCTTAAGTTTATTATTTTATTATTTTGTTTTTTTAATTTATGTTTTTATTTTGTTTTATATTGTTTTATATTTGTTTTTTAAAAAAAAAACCTTTTTTTGTGTAAACATTATTTTTAAATATAAATCTTTTTATAATAAAATTAAACAAAAACTCTTTTTAAAAAAATAAAAATTAAAACCTTTTTTAATATAAAACATAAAACTTTTGTAAATATAAAAATAAAAAAACTCTTTTTTAAATAAAAATAAGAAAAACTTTTCTTAAAATATTAAAAATAAAACCTTTTAAAGGAGTAAAATATTTTAAATTAAATCTTTTTTTTTTGCAAGCTAATATTAAAAATTGTAATAATCTCAAATTTGCATCTTTTTCTTTATTGTTTCGTAATTAATTTGATTGCCGCCTAACTCTGCCTACTAACGGGTGTTCATTTTTTTGCAGTTCATATTTATTACTATTGTGTTGAGTTTTCATTTAAGTTTCATTTATATTTGTGTCTATTTCTCAATTGTAACCTCGCGAACCTAATAATCGCGTTTACTTTTCGCATTTAAGTTTCTGCTGATGTATGATTTAAATTTCTCACACTGTCATTGCTATTATTCTGTCACATTGCACACCTCCGAAGGAATTAGGTCTAGCCGTTTGACCGTCGTGTCAATAGTCCTCACCTTCAACCCTTACACCTTTTCAACCCAAAATTTTCATACATGTCTCGCTGTGGACAAAATTACCAATTTTACCCCTAGCATTAGGTCAAAGAGCCGCCGCGCTCATTTTAGGGTTTCCCGCCGTGGAATCCCTAATTTAACCCTAATTACAACTTAACATTTCAACGTAGAGATTTGGAGTTTCTACACTCCACGTAAGCGTGTCCTTAAGACGCGTTTATTCCTCTTGAGACCTTGACCACAGTCAAGAAGTCTCTAACCTCCCTTTTGAGGGGAACTACGATTACTCTGATTCCACTCTCGTAAGGATACGTAGGCACAAGATGCGATGTCTTGCCGAGTAAACTTAGAATTAACCCCTTAGGTTTATTTTCTCACTTTTAATCCTTTGTGCATATACCTTAAGCAAATAAATAAAGCAAATAGTAAACATTTGAACAAAAGGTTCCTGTAGAGTACTACAGAAGTTTAGAGTGCTAATACCTTCCCTAAATTTAACCAACCCCCGAACCCTAGATCTTTCCCCGCATTGTGTTTACGATGCAAAATAGGTTTTCCCTCTTTTGACCTTTTCCTTCGGATAAATCAAAGAGCGGTTGTGAATTGAATTGCGATTCAAACTCATTAATAGTTTGTGATCCTATTTCCACCGCAACACATTCCAATAGTAGAGAATTGAAGTTTTCGAAGGCGTAACCGATTACAGGATTTGGTATAACCAGTTACCACTAGAGCTAAATTAATTTCATTTTATTTCAGTGTCAAGTGTAACCGCTTATCCACTTTAGGGTAACAAGTTACAAGCCCGAGTTTTTATTTTTGCTAAATTAATTTCATTTTATTTCAGTGTCAAGTGTAACCGCTTATCCACTTTAGGGTAACAAGTTACAAGCCCGAGTTTTTATTTTTTCTGTTATTGTACTTGGTCAAATGTGATCCCAACTGTTTCGTAACCTATATATATATATATATATATATATATATATATATATATATATATATATATATATATATATATATATATATATATATATATATATATATATATATATATATATATATATATATATATATATATATATATATATATATATATATATATATATATATATATATATATATATATATATATATATATATATATATATATATATATATATATATATATATATATATATATATATATATATATATATATATATATATATATATATATATATATATATATCAATTTGGTTTGAATCTGTTTTCAAAACTTAGATTTAAATTGAGTTGTTTTCACAAAATAGAATTAAAATATTTCCAATAATATTTTGATTTTTTGTTTTTGTGGTTTGCAATATTTTTTTCAATCTATTTGCATTTTTGATTTGAATAGACTAGAATCTGACTAAGACAATACTCATTACCCATCACCGTCCCTATGTGGAGAAGTTCTCCATATTTAAAACTCTGACTAAGACAATACTCATTACAGGAACCGCACAATCATATCCAAATTCACATCCTTTTAATTGGAATTTCTTTTATATCAAAATGAGAAAATAAAAAGTATGGATGGATCTCCCACAGTAATCGCAAACAAGTTGAAACTACTGAGATCTTCTTTAAATTAAATTAAATGATCTAATGAATCAATTACTGATGATAAAAAAAAATGAGAAAAGAAAAGAAATTAAGAGTATAAATAAGTGTTAGAATGACGAAAGTGTTTAATATAAGGAACTAAGATAAGAATATTAATTCGTCCAAAAAACTACGCCTGCAAATACAATGTCTGCTACTACTACTCATCTTGGAGTTTCATCCTATCTCACAACCTCACTTTCTCGTCGCAATTCATCGACTTTCACGAATCATTCTAGGATCATGTCGCTTCAAAATCCAAATTCAACGATTATACACGGTAAATTATCGATCAAGTCCATTGCTTTCAATGATAAGGTATGCTCTTAATATCGTCAAAGTAATTTCTAAATATTATAATGAATTGCACCTACCTTAACTATGTTTCATGTTGTTGTTGCTGTTAGTTGCCACCCTTACGAACAGATGACAAGACCAGAAGTTTGGAGCAAGTCAAAAGAAGAAGCCGAGACGCATTGTTGAACTCGAATGATCCTATTGAGACGATGAAGATGATAGACTCAATCCAAGGGCTAGGAATTAGGCACCATTTGGAAGATGAGATCAATATACAACTTGAGAGGATATGTGATTGGGATGCTTCTACAAACCTCTTTGCAACATCTCTTCAATTTCGTTTACTTAGGCATAATGGTTGGCCTACATGCCCTGGTACATATTATACTAGCATTATGGGTGAAGTTTATGTATATCCTTTAAATTTTCTTGTGTGCTGATTAATGTGATTCCTTGATTGCAGACATATTCAGTATTTTTTTGGATAAAAATGGCAATTTCAAAGACTCACTCACCAAGGACATTTACGGTATGTTAAGCCTATATGAGGCATCCTATTTAGGGACAGAAGATGAAGAAATATTAAACAAAGCCACGGAATTTTCAAGGAGTCATCTAAGTAAGTTAATCCCACACCTTAGTCCTGAAGTTGGTAAAGATATTGATAGAGCTTTAACACTTCCAAAGCACCTAAGAATGGCAAGGTTAGAAGCTAGAAACTACATGGAAGAATATAGTGATGCAAGTAACCAAATACCAGCTTTTTTGGAATTGGCAAAGTTAGACTCTAACATGATTCAATCTTTACATCAAAGAGAATTAGCAGAAATATGCAGGTGGTGGGAAGAGTTGGGACTTGTAGACAGACTTGGTTTTGCAAGAGATAGACCAACAGAGTGTTTCTTATGGACGGTGGGGGCTTTTCCGGAACCATGTTATACAAATTGTCGTATCGAACTTTCAAAATCTATATGCATTTTGGATGTTATTGATGACATTTTTGACAATTATGGTACATTAGATGAACTTATTCTTTTCACAAATGCAATCAAAAGGTAATTAAACATAATTAACTAGGGAAATAATTTGAAATTATCAAATTAATAATCAAAATGTTAAACTAGTATTTTTTGGGTGTAGGTGGGACCTTGATTCAATGGAGCAGCTTCCTGAGTATATGAAGATATGCTATATGGCATTATATAACACCACAAATGAAATTTCATTTAGAATTCAAAAAGAACACGGCCTAACAGTTGTTTCATTCTTAAAACGAACAGTAAGAATATGAATATCCAATTATTCATTACCTATTTTAGATTTTTACAATTAGAGACTGATGTTTAATTTATGTAGTGGATGGACATGTTTGATGCATATTTGGAAGAAGCGAAATGGTTCAATAATGGATATGTGCCAAGTTTTAGAACATATTTGGATAATGGAGCAATTTCGGTTGGATCATGTATGGGATTGGTGCATGCTACTTTCCTCATTGGTGATGGTCTCTCAAAGGAAACCATTTCCATGATGAAACCATATCCTAGACTCTTCACTTGCACCGGAGAAATTCTTCGGTTATGGGATGACTTAGGAACTTCAACGGTAAAATAAAAAGTGAATCATAAACAAAATTTAAATTTAAACGAGATAATAACTATCTAGCATGCAATTAAACAGCGGAATAAAATCAATGTTTAAATATAATCTCCACAATCGGTGGTTATACATTATTAATCCAACAATTAAAATATACGTAACAATAAATCAAGAAAATAAGTCAATTAAACGTAATCCTGTCATCCCATGTTACGTATCAGAGCGACTCCTAAGACTCAATCGAATAGTAACACACTTCAAACACTACTCAGGTACCTAGTCATCTGCACTCCTCAAGGAGCACAGACACAACAAACAGAACAGGGGTGAGAACTACATTCAATAAATAAGCGGTGAAATACACGTGTGTAATACCCCAAATTTTACCCTTTCTTTTTATTTTTATTTTAAATTCTGATTAACTTAATAAATTAACCTTCTTTTTTTAAATCTTGTTTTTTTAACTAATAATAATTTAATTAAATTTTTTTTTTATAACTTTACTAATGTTTTTTATTAACTTTTTTTTTCTATTTAGTTTATTTATTTAAGTCATTATAAGCTCTTCTTACTAACTTTTAGGATTTAGATTAAAATTTAACTTTTTTTTTCTTTTCTTTAAAGAGTAAATTTTTCATAACCTTTTTTAAATTAATTTCTAACACTTTTTTTTTAATCAAATTCTAATACTTTTTTTTAAAATAAAAATCTAATACTTTTTTTTAAATAAAAATCTAATACTTTTTTTTAAAATTAAATCTTTTTTTTCTAACTTTTTAAAATTAAATCTTTTTTCTAACCTTTTAAAGCTAAATCCTTTTTTTAAAGTTAAATATTTTTTTCTAACTTCTTTTTAAAATTAAATCTTTTTTCTAACTTTTTTAAAGTTAAATATTTTTTTCTAACTTTTTTTAAAACTAAATCTTTTTTTTCTAACTTTTTAAAAGTTAAATATTTTTTTCTAACTTTTTTTAAAACTAAATCTTTTTTTTCTAACTTTTTAAAGTTAAATATTTTTTTTTCTAACTTCTTTTTAAAATTAAATCTTTTTTCTAACTTTTATAAAGTTAAATCTTTTTTTCTAACTTTTTTTAAAAAAATTAAATCTTTTTTTTTCTCTAACTATTTTAAAAATTAAATCTAACCTTTTTTTTTTTTTTTTTTTTATAAATTAAATCTATCCTTTTTTTTTAAAATTAAATCTAAATCTTTTTTTTGACACCTTTATTTTTCAAATTAAAATTCTAAATTCCTTTTAAAATTAAATTCTAGCAGTTTTTAAAATAATTCTAACATTTTTTAAAACCAACATTCAAATATTTTTTTGTTTTAAAATTCTAACTCATTTTTTTAAACTTAAAACTCTAATTTTTATTTAACTTGAAACTCTAACTTTCTTTGCTAACATTTTTAAATTTAAATCCCAATATTTTTTTTTATCAAATCCAATCACAATGAATCACATATGGAGCTAAATCAAATCAATCAGAGCATATCATCATCATAAGGAAATCAGATCTAAATATCAACATCACCATCATTGAATCAAATCTGAAATCATCATAAAAATTCATTCAAATCAAATCAGAGATTGAAAAAGATTGAGATATTCAAATCAAATCTGAGATTGAAAAAGATTTAAAAAAATCAAGTATAAAAGGACCCTCAGGAGCAACAAAACAGGAGAGGGACAAGCATCAAAAACTCTTACAGTCTTCATCAAAAGTAACTAAATCTTCTTTTTTTTTTTTTCTAATCTTTTTATATCTTTTTTCAAAATTTCTACCATTTTTTCTTAATTAAAATTCTAACGTTCTAACTCTTTTTTTATTAAAATTCTAACCTTTTCTCTTTTATTCTCAAACTTTTATTTTTATTTTCTAACCTTTTTTTTAAAAACCAAATTTCAAAGTTCTAATTTTTTTTTTTTGCTAACTTTTAATTCTAACTTTTAATCTATTTTCTTTTTCTTAATCACATTAAAAACTCTAACTTTTCCAAATCTCACAAAAAAAAACCTAATTCCATTCTAACTCTTTTCTTATTACCTAAATTCTCATCGTCTCAAAACGTTCATCACTTAACTTCTAATTATTGTCAATTCCAATTTTCATCCTTCATTCCTAACAGTATTCTTGATTATCCATGAACCTGTTCACTAATATTTATTTATTTATTTTTGTATTTATTTTTATATTTGTACATAATCTGACATCATCGTTGCTATTTCATATTCCATTATCACTTGTATATTATCGCCATCTTCTTTGCATATTAATTTTCATTGTTTATTAATTTTTCGCAACATCCTCATTTTTAAGATCCAAATTTCTAACTTTTTTTCTTGTTTCGTTAATTATAATTTTTTACTTAAATTCCTAACATTCCCGTCTAACCCCGTATAATAACAGTCTCTGTTTGTTTTAGTTTTTTGCAGCTGACTAAGTTCAATTGATTTTATTTTCAGTTTAAATATTCAATTATCATATTTGTAACTGCTTATGGGATGTAATTTTGCGAGACAATTGTCGCATTTATCTTTCCGCACTTTATTTTCTGCCGTTGTATGTATATTTAATTTCATCGCATCTTTATAATTAATTTCACTCCTCCGAAGGAATTAGGTCTAGCCGTTTGACCGCCGTGTCAATAGTCCATAAACCCTCACACATTCAAAATTACACCCTTACAAACCCTAATTTTCACAAATGCCTCGCCGCAGGCAAAATTACAATTTTACCCTTAGCATTAGGTCAAAGAGCCGCCGCGCTCATTTTAGGGTTTCCCGCCGTGGAATCCCTAATTTAACCCTAATTACAACTTAACATTTCAACGTAGAGATTTGGAGTTTCTACACTCCACGTAAGCGTGTCCTTAAGATGCGTTTATTCCCCTTGAGACCTTGACCACAGTCAAGAAGTTTCTAACCTCCCTATTGAGGGGAACTACGATTACTCTGATTCCACTCCCGTAAGGATACGTAGGCACAAGATGCGATGTCTTGCCGAGTAAACTTAGAATTAACCCCTTAGGTTTATTTTCTCACTTTTAATCCTTTGTACATATACCTTAAGCAAATAAATAAAGCAAATAAATAAAGCAAATAGTAAACATTTGAACAAAAGGTTCCTGTAGAGTACTACAGAAGTTTAGGGTGCTAATACCTTCCCTAAATTTAACCAACCCCCGAACCCTAGATCTTTCCCCGCATTGTGTTTACGATGCAAAATAGGTTTTCCCTTTTTGACCTTTTCCTTCGGATAAATCAAAGAGCGGTTGTGAATTGAATTGCGATTCAAACTAATTAATAGTTTGTGATCCTATTTCCACCGCAACAGAAAATGGCGACTTCACTGGGGAGACCTAAACTTTTGAGGGTTATCCCTAACTTGTTCATATTTATTACTATCTGTGTTATTATTCATTTGCATGTATATATTTGCGCTTTGATTGTGGGACTGTTCCTTGTGCTGTGAGATAGGTCCTAACCCGGATCTAGTGTACCTTAGGTAAATGGCAATAGACCAAGGAAACTGTACGACGTATATCGATACGGTTGATCTGGTGGCCATGGTTAGTGCGACTTGTTGGTTGGTGCTTATATTCCTTAAGTCAAGTTGAGGATAATATTGAGGCTGCCATATGTTGTCAGCGCACTAACTGACTTTTAGAACCCTAGTTAACTCATCTTGGCCTTTAGAAAGTAGTGAGGTAACCGGCTTTGGTGCAGACTAAAGTTGGTTGACACTCGATACTACGCTCATTGAGATCTTAAACTTGGAGGGTTTTGGTTGGCAAGTAAGTTGCCTTCTGAACAACCACCCTTGTGAAGGATCAATGATATTGAGATCCCTTAGAACCTGGTTACTTTTGTAGGACAGGATGAACCATCTAACTTCAGGGGAGGGTATTTGCCTTTGAACCTCATGCAAGCTTTTAACCTAGGACTTTGTGTGTTTTCATGCATTGCATCCATAAAGCATCTCATCGCATTGTATTTCATGAAGTTCAAACATCATTTATGGATATTGCGGGATACCATAAATAAAAAAAAATAGAATGAAAAAACAAGAAAAAGATTTCTTTGGTACCCCACGGCATTAGTAAATGTTTTGAATTCCATGAAATCTTCATTTACATTCACATTTTAGCATCATACTTTTGCATTACATGTGTCTCCCGATTTCTCACACTTGGTTCTCTCACCTTCCAGTTTCGTCACCCTGAGTTCTCGGCACCAATACAACACCAGAGCTCAAACTCGGAAAAGAATGGAGGATCAGGCAAAAGAGATTGATCACCTTAGCAATGAACTCGAAGACCTTCGAGGGGGTATGGGGCGTATGATGGAATTGTTACATGTCATGAATGCTAAGATGGATACCCAGCCCACTGTTGTTTCTGAGATTACCGGCGTTACTGTGGACCCTCCACCAAGTGTGACCGTAGCAAGGGACCCACCTTATGGTCTTGCTCCCGGTTTTGTGCCTCCTCAAGCCACTGTTCCGATTAATCAACCTGTTCAGCAAGCCGTGCCCTTGTTTTCTGAAGTTTCTAGGGGGGCTCCTATCTTTGCACCACCTGTTGTACACACTCGTGCGCAACCGTACTTCAATGAGACAGTTTTTGATAATCTTGATGAGAATGTTGAGGGTTATGAGAAACATGATAAGCTTCGTGAGGAAGTGAACACCATCGTCCAGAGATTGAAAAAGGTAGAGGGTGATCAAATTTTTGGGACTGCTGCAAGGGATGTTTGTTTGGTCTCGGGTTTAGTTATTCCCCCGAAGTTCAAAACTCCGAACTTCGATCGCTATGAAGGTGCCACCTGTCCTAAGAGTCATTTGATCATGTATTATCGCAAAATGGCTGCCCATGTTGAGAATGATAAACTGATGATTCATTGCTTCCAAGATAGTTTGAAGGGTGCTTCCTCCAAGTGGTATTTAACTTTGGACCAGTCTCGCGTTAAGAGTTTCCAGGATTTATCTGACGCTTTCATCAAACACTACAAG